GATGGTCCGGCGTCGCCGGAGCATCGGAGGGGCTCAGTGTCACGGTGCCCCTTTCTCTCTCTCTCTCTCACACACACACACACACACACACACACACACACACACACAAATGCCGGTGGTCTGGCGTCGCCGGACCATCGGAGGGGCTCAGCGTCACGGTGCCTCTCTCTCTCTCTCTCACACACACACACACACACACACACACACACACACACACACACACAGACAAATGCCGGTGGTCCGGCGTCGCCGGACCATAGAAGGGGCCGTATGTTTGTCTGTGTGTCTGTCTGTATGTATGTCTGTCTGTATGTCTGTTTGTGTTATGTCTCTCTCCCTCTCTCTCTCTACTCTGTGTGTCTCTCTGTATGTCTGTCTGTGTGGCTGTCTGTCCGTGTCTCTCTCTCTCTCTCTCTCTTTCTCTCTCTCTCTCTCTCTCTCTCTCTCTCTCTCTCTCTCTCTCTCCCTCTCTCTCTCCCTCTTTCTCTCTCTGAAGGGCTCATAAACCGTTTATATTCAACAGCGTGCTCATTTCTGTATCGGGTGTGGTATCTGTGTAGCTGGGAAAGAGACCTTCTCGGGTTCGTCGACGCCAAAGGTGATTGGCAGGGCTGCGACGTTCCATGATAAGTATTGGGCGCTCGATTGACACCTGGGCATCAAAGTCCCCTATTGTGGCCCGGTCGTTTTCTTGAGAGATTCTAGCGGGGCTTACCACCCCTGCGGTGGAGTGAAGAATTACGCGTTTGATAAACTGGAGGTTGTTGAGGAGTACATGAGATTTCACCTCACCACTTGCTTCAACGCTGATGGTAACGAGGAACCGGACAACTACAAACAGGTGTTACTGCATTTGCAGAAGTTCGTCGGGTACGGCATGCGGGCCGCTGCTATGCCTCCTTTTGATAAGTCGCGGAAAAAAGACGGATCGCAGGTTGTGATGCTCCGCCCTTTCGATTTTCTCAAGAGAATTAACTGCCACTAGGTGTCTAGCCATGTGTGCACGGTGGACAGCAAACTGGCACTCTCGGAACCCCTCATACCGTTCGATATTCAACTTGACGAGTTCGCATCGAAGCTTCGGTCTTATAAATTGCAGGCGCTGGGCCAGGCTATTCTACACAGTGCGATCTCTGTTGGGTCGCCGCGTGGCGTTGGGGACCTGGGTGGTCGACAAATCAGCTCGGTGGGAATTACCGAACGTGATAAGGTCATAGAGAAGTCTGAGCCTGTCCAGAAGTCTGATCTCGCGCCGCGTTCGCTAACGAATACGGTGTCCAAACGGTTAGCGCCGGGTCTGAAGCGATGGCAAGGTCCGGCAGAAGCTTCGTCTTCACGTCATGATGGTGGCAACGAAGTTCGCGAGGACCCTGATAAGACGGAGGACGACTTATCAACTGAGCAACATGTGCTTGACAGAAATGTTGAAGGGAACGAAGGACATGACGAAGACGAAGACGATCAGTTCGCTGGCTACGAAGGTGGTGACGGTGACGAACAGGGACTCGGGGACGGTAAGGAAGGGGTGGAAGACGAGGACGGAGGGGATGACGACGACGGTGGGGATGACGAGGAAGACGGTGACGACCATAGTGGGCTCAAAAATGGCGATGACTTCGAGGGAACTGGGGTTGGGGGGGCGGAGGACGAAGACAGCTACGAAGCGGGGAGCGAAGGGGAAGAGGACGAAGCCAATGACCACGGAGTGTCTGTCAATGAGTCTCGCAAATGCGCCGACAGTCAGAGGCTTCGCTCTGGAGACGAGGACGTCCTCAACACACAGAGATCAGTATGCTCGCAGAAGAGAAAATCGAGAGCTAGCGGTGATGAGGAGCAGAGGCGAAGACAGTCGAAGTTGATAGGTTTGGCAGCTTCGGAGGAGGCGTATAAGAAGGCATTGGACGCACAGTCGGCGAAGCCGGCTAAGGAAAAGCGCGAGCGACCACGCTCTTCCCAACGACCAAAGAAGAAAGCGAAGATAGACGGTGCAAAGGAAGTTGCAGAATCCGGTGACGAGGCGGTCGGGGTTGACCCTCGAGATAATACGTCCAAACCGGAACAATTGGTGTCGGATGCTATCGACACAACGAGATGTTTCTTTCTGGAGTATGATGACGACGGCAATGCGATTGACCGGCCTGTTCAGGTGTTCGTAGATGTCCGCAAGATTTTGCCGAACCCAGACGACGGGGAATTCCAGTACAATCACCGACCCCTGAACGAGATGTTGGTCGCCTCCATCAAAGACGCTATGGAACGGTCAGAGAAACAGAAAGAGTGGGACATAAACACCTTCATTCTGGCTCCTGTTATAGAAGTCATGCGGAACGGGCAAAAACAGTGGCAACATTTGAAACCCAAGGACTGAAGGAACGAGGATGTCAATTCGTACCATTGGTACGTCGTGGCAGGCCAACACACGGCGGAAGCTACGAAGAGGTTGGAGCGAGCGAATTCTCCAGTTGCCAGGAAATGGGGCGTGCGGTAATGGAAAGCGCGTGCGGTGTACTTCGATGATGACCATCTTGACGGGTATGCCTACATTTCCACATTTGACAACACGAGGGAGACTCGATCTTTCCCTTCGTCGTTCAGAATGGTTGTCACCGCAATAAGAGGGTTGTGGAGTCATATGAAATTCCCGAAGGGTGACTGGCATCTGGCGAAAACGAAAGATGACAAGGTGGCGCAACAGCAGAACTATCACACTTTTCTGCGCAAAGCAATACGGATGACACTAGACACCGAGCTCTGGAATCAGTCGCTGAACAACAAATTTGTCCGTAATTGGTCCAACCTCTTGAGGCCGTTCATGTGCCTTGCCACCACTGGCAACGCAGTGTGGCAGTTGGTGAACCGGTTCTTCGACATGTGGGAGAAAGGGGAATTGCCTGGGCTGGATGGAGTCAGGCCGGTTGATCAAGAGGGGAGGCCAGGCGAGGCGTCCGGTGCAGGTCCAGCTGCCAAAACAGTGAAACGAAAAAAGGAACTGGTGCACTACGTGCAGTCGAACAAAAGTCCAAATGGGTACTATGTGTGTGTTCATGACCCTCCGGCGAGCGCTTGGAAAGTGTTCGGGGATTTCACTACTAGGGAGAAGGAGATGGCATTGGATTTGATTTTGGCAGGGAAGGTCGTTGTCACCACCGGCAGGACTTTCGCCAAGAAACTGATGAACATGAACGACCTCTACCTAGAAGTGCGCAGGGAGAGATACATGGTGCGCATGTTCAACTACGTGCTCCTCAAGTCGGAACGCAGGGGACAGCGTGAGTGGAATGACGATTTCTTCATCGGGTATGATGATATTATGAAGAGGTTTGAGCCGCACGGGTTGACGAAAGAGAAATGGGAGAAGAAGAAGATGAAACTTCCAGTTGAGAGAACGAACAACGTGCCGAAACGACTGGGGGGGTGGATGAGGGAAAGTTGGGACAGGGGAATGTGGGGGGGTACAAGGTGACGACTGAAATGTATATCGAGTGCCCGTACTTCATCAAATTGTTTCTGCATGAGATAGTGAGAGCGGTGAGCCAATTGAAGGACGAGCTTCAGCGCGTCATTGCAAATGCACAGCATATACTGTGGGATAAGCGGAAGTGTAATACAACGTATTTGCCTGTGTGCATGGCGCCGTTGGATGGGCTGCAACCGACAGAGGATCTGACTCGTGCTGTGAAGAAATTGAGTTGTCACCTTGCAGTGCTGGACCTGGCTCCCCACAAGAATCTGGATTCATGGACGGAGAAGAGGTTTGTGGAACTTCAGCAAATGATGATAACTCTGTGTGGGACACATTGGACACTCATCATTTTCAGTGGATTGAAGGGCGAGGACTACATTCTGAGGAACATCTTCAGGTGGGGGGGTGTGAAAGTTCTTCCGGGCCGCTGGCGACGGCATCATGGCACGCAACCATCCTCATATGTTCCCCTTGGGAATCTTCCATTGAGAAGCCGCGACTCAATGACGATTGTTTTGCACGACACGGGCAATGACTTCAAAAAAGTCACCGTCCCGTCCAAACGTGATAATGTGTTTTTTGACACTAACTACGAGGAGGATATATTTGTCCGTTGCACACAACAGCACATCGGCGTGGCCGGCGAAGACAAAGCTGTTTATGGGGTCTGGGAGAGACAACCAGCAAGAATGAAGGAGTTGTGTTCATGGTCTTCGAAGGAGGGGGAGGGTGTGCTTCTTCTGGGCAACGTCCAATCTGGGTCAGTTTGGGAATTGCTTCGATCTGGCCGTCATGTGGTGGCATGTGACGGCTCTACCACCATGCTCGAATATTGTTCCTCGTTTATTGATCACCTCGTCCATAATCCCGGTCGTTGTCACTTCGAACGGCCCAAAACCCAGCATCGGCCAGACCGAGACATGTTCCTGAAACTCGGGAAGAAGAGAGCATCTTTATGGAAGTACTTGTTCTGCAATGCTCCTGACACACGAACGGAGACTGATTACGTTGCGCGAAAAGTCGTCGCTCTCCAACACCTCCAGCGGTACCACGACGCCAAGATTGGTGCAATCGAGATATTTCTAGCACGTTGCGAGGACCTGTGGCTCGACAGAAAGATGCGCCGCGTCGACGCAAGGATTTATAACGAAGTGTTGGAGCCTGAAGACAGTTTCGATATAATGGACAGTGGGGAGGATACCGATGATGACGAGATCGACCTGTCGCTGCCTGATGCAAGAAACCACGCAGCTGACAAGAACATGAGCACCGGGTCCTTATCGTGGGGGGACCCGGCGGTGGTTGAAGTCGGGGGACCGACAATGGCCAGCTGCAAGACCGCCCAGCTCACACATACGCAGACGTCATCCGCAGGAGATGGTATCGAGGCAAGCACTTCGAAATGGAAAGACAAGAGAGGTGCCCCAGGGCTTCCAACGCTGATGCGGCAAATGTTCGACCACGTCATGGAAATGCCAACAGAGAACAAAACTCGTGGTCAACATGACGACGCGGGGCCCGAGGAGGATGACATTTGTCTGGAGGACAATCCGTTGTTCCGCATTCCAGACGACGAGGACAAAGATCTAACTCCTGGAGATGAAATCGAAAGTCACATGAAGGAGAGCAAACGAGGACCTCACTTTTTGGACACCAAGTTCACAGAGACCGAGGTGTATAAATAGGGCCATCAGATCATATGGCATCCGGGTGTTTTTGAGCCATGTGTGTTTAATGGCAAATGGCACATGGCTGTCCGAGTCGGAGGGAAGTGGATATTGAAGAAGAGACTGAGCAGGAGTAAGTTCTTTGAGACTGCAAAGGAACAGTTGTTGCTGCGCGTGCTGCAGGCAAACAAGGGTGCAGGAGAGCAAGATATCAGCAAAAAGGTGAACTCCGTATTTTAAGCGCTGCTTCAAAACAATCTTCTGGAGTATTGCGTTGCTTTCTATGAGAGAAAATCGAGCCCTTCACGAGGACAGATCAAATGGGCATTGGAGTGTCGTCAGACGGAACAAATGTACGACAGTGACATATTGGTGGGGTGCACTCTAGCCATGGAAGAGAATATCCGAAATGGGTCTAGACAAGGAGCCATTAAGACGAGTGTTGCTGAAAAGGAAGGGCGTGCGAGGAAGGGCGTCGAATATAAAGAACAGGGAACTCATGAGGCATCAGTTGATGAGCTACTAAAAACGCCATTTTCTGAGGGCGTTGGTGCGGTGCCAAGGGAAAAGACGGCAGGTCCAGGATGTGGTGGGGAAGAGGCAGGAAATACAAAGGAACAGGGGGAAAAGAAGGCCACAACCGACGAAGATGCGGGAGATGCCGGAGATGGGGGTGCCCAGCGGGTGCCCAGTGGACTGGGAGACCCGCTTTCGGCAGCCAACACAGGCATGTCGTCACATGGAGGACGGAGTGGGGGGGAGCACGATGCTGGAGATGCACTGGTATTTGGAGGAGCAAGCCCGCGGGACATTACGGAGCCTTTAGCGGATAACAGAGATGAGGGGGACAAACTTTTGCACATGGTATGCACTGGCTCTGGCTCGCAGATAGCCCCAGACTCGATGGAGAGGGAAGAAGGTGGTGGTATGGAGGGAGTTCGTATGACACATGGTCGTGAAGCGGGAGATGATGATGAGGAAGCTGACGGGGATGCAAACCTCGAACAGAACATGGACGTGGACAGCGAGGATGGATTGGGAAAGAAAGCTTCCTGCCGTGGCAGATCCGGGGTCAGCAGTTCGAACGTGATCAACTTGATCGAGCAATCAAGTGAGAACGGAGGAAAGTCACATAGTGAAGGAAGATCGTTGTCATCAGCCGAGCCAACACAAATGGACCATGCTTTGCATGATGGGGCTGAGGGAAGGTGCAGTCCGAAGCGTGAAACAAGAGAGGAAAAAGAGGAATGCAGTGTGCGGCGCTCAAAGAGAGGCAGGGAGAAGAAAGCAGCATAGCACACACGCATGTGCATGTGTGTATGTCTTGCAGTGACGTGTGTGTGTGTATGTGTGTGTGTGTGTGTGTGTGTGTATTTGCATATGCGTATGTTGTGAGCGTATATGTGTGTGTGTGCCTATGTGTGTGTGTGTGTGTGTGTGTGTGTGTGTGTGTGTGTGTGTGTGTGTGTGTCAGAGAGTGTGTGTATGTGTTTGTGCATGAGCATGAATATGGATAGAAGGGTGTACAAGAGGTTCGGTTGTCGGTGCTGAATGGAATATTCATAAGTTACATTTATCATTCGATGACGTCGATCGACAAAAGGTGTTGGAAGTTGTGAAACATTCCATTCAGTTTTCCAATAAACCGTTTGAGGAGGACAGTTTATTAATTAAGTAATATTTTAATGGGAAAAGGATGGTGGTGGATCTCTCTCTCTCTCTCTCTCTCTCTCTCTCTCTCTCTCTCTCTCTCTCTCTCTCTCCAAGAGATTCGGTTGTCGGTGCCTAATGGAATATTCCTAAGTTACATTTATCAGTCTCTCTCTCTCTCTCTCTCTCTCTCTCTCTCTCTCTCTCTCTCTCTTTGACTCTCTCTCTCTGTACAAGGGATTCGGTTGTCAGTGCTTAATGGAATATTCCTAAGTTACATTTATCATTCGATGACGTCGATCGACAAAAAAAGCTGGAAGTTGTGAAATATTCCATTCAGTTTTCCAACGAACCATTTGAGGAGGAAGAATGACAGTTTATTAATTAAGCAATATTATAATGGGAAAAGGATGGTGATGGATCTCTCTCTCTCTCTCTCTCTATCTATCTATCTATCTATCTCACTCTTTGACTCTCTCTCTCTCTCTCTCTCACACACACACACACATAGGCACACACACACGAAACATTCACACACACAGAGAGTAGACGCTAAAGTGCAACATACAATTACGGAGTGTTCGACAAACACGGTTTTAATAGATGTAGTGCAAACAGACATTAACAACAAATAGTTCAAATTGTTGTTCGCTGATGCAGTTAACCAGTGCAATGAAGGCGAACGCAACTGTGTACATGGCTGGACTATTCACTTAGCAACGGACGCCCTCAATGAGACCGAAGAAGAGGCATTACGTCACATGGGTATAGAGCTGAATAATACGAAAACATTGACAAGCACGAAGAATGAAGCTACTAGAAAGCAGCTGTTATTCACCGTGCATAATTTCAGCGTCCTCATGAACGAGAACGAGTGGTTGAACGACAACATTGTGAATTTCTACATGAAAATGATTCTGCATGACAACAATTGCAGAACATTTCATCACGAATGTGACAATCAGTTTGACAAGTCCAATCTATGTAGCACGAGGACGATCCCCGTCACAGCTGCATATAACTCATACTTTTTCACTAAACTTCTAGGCAGGAACATGGAATATAAGTACGACAAAGTTGCTAGATGGTTTCGGGATGTCATCATAGCAGACACGGAGTTGATTCTAGCGCCATATCGCGATATGAAAAAGAAACACTGGACACTCGTTGCGGCCGACCGTCGACGAAATGTGATAGAGTATTACGATTCAATGGATACAAACACGAAGTTAGCTGAACAGGTGACACGCTACTTCGCGCGATTTTTACTAGAGCGCTCAACGCACCAGGGCCGACCAATAGACGTATCGTGCTTCGAAGACACTTTGGAAGTGAAGGGCATTCCGAAACAGGAGGACGTGAGTCAGTGCAGAGTGTTCATGCTCACTTATACATCTCTTCTAGCGAGAGGCAAGGTGCCACCATTCAATTTCACAATGGACGACATAGAAGGCATTAGACGAAGGATCGCAATAGACTCAATAGCTTCATGATTTGCAAATTTGCAATTGCATCGTATTCGTTCAGTGTTGTCGTAACTGATTACAGTTCAGAGCCTTCGATAGGTTGTGGGTATCCTCTCATATTATTGTACACCGAAGAAAACTGAGAGGAATTGGAAAACATTTGAAGGAATTCATGAAAGACATTGGCATAACTTCATTTGGACTCACACTCCTCGTTGATGATGTATGTTGTATGATGGACTCGTACGGTAGAGGATATAAGGGACCATAGTTGTGGTGTATGGTCTTTTTCTTATGAGATATGGTATACTAAGAACATGTGATGGTAGCCATCACTGCAAAGAAGGAAGTCACTCAAACATAAGTGTGGTTGTGAACTGGGGGTACCATACAATGATATATGTTATATGATGGACTCTTACGATACAGGATATACCATACCATAGTTGTGGTGCATGGTCTGTGATAGATGATCCTACCATCTAATGGGATATGGTATACCATCACAATGCGATGGTAGCCATTACTGCAAAGAAGGAAGTCACTCATTTCCACAAAAAAACATAGACGAAATTGTCAAAGTTTAATTTCGCGAAAATAGTCAAAAATGTCAATTTTAACGAAATGTCAGTTAGGTGTCGTGCTCCGCCTGGGATAGAGATGGAGATGGAGGATGAGAGTGGAGCAAGATGGCACAACGCAGCTCCCACGCGAGACTCCAACACACGTACCCCAAACTGTATGAATGTAGCGTGAGACAAAGTACAAACTCTGGCTGGGGTATACCCCAGCGGACTGACTGAACTGGACTGACTGGTACCGACAAAGCTACAAGCCTGGACTGGACTACCCCGAATACAACACAGGTCTGTGAGAACAGGCCAAGAGGCTGGTCTCACAGGCCAACCAGAGGTCCTCTACGCGATCCTCTGCCTGTGATGGATCGCCTAGATACAAGCACGCTTCCGCCAAGAAGCGGAACTCTACCAAAGAAAAAGAAAACCCGACTAGTCTAGTATGTGGAGCAAGCTCCATGCTGAGTCCATGCGACGCAACCTAGGATAAAAAATGTCACAAAAAAACAGTAATGTCACAACTAACAGCCTAAGTGAAAGCAAAAGCAACTAACTAGTATACATGTCCTAGGAAAGCAGAAAGTAATGACAACTAAATCATAGAATGTTGGAGCCAGTAGCCTCAGTCTGGAAACAACTGACCAGTGTATAAGTCCTAAGAACAGCAAAAGCAGAAACAACAAAAACCTAGAAATGTTAGAGGCAGTAGCCTCAGTCTGAGAGCGACAAAGCAAAAACAAGACAACCATATGTTACAGGAGAAGTGTGTCATAAACCACAGGGTGGGATGGTCTCTGAGGGTGGCGAATGCAGCCTAAGGGTCGATAAACTCCTAAGGGCATCCGCACATTATGACAGGGAGACACATGTCATCAGGCTCAATGAGGGTAGGGAACTGGGAGCGAACAGAACCAATGACCCTAACAGATAGACCATCAGGGTGGGTAATGCTCGACTAAAGGGGTGACCGCTATGGAGGATCAACCATGCAAGGGAATAAGGGAGCCTGAAATACAGGGCGACCTAGATGAAGCATGCAAGGCTGCCTAACTAGGGTGTGAGGGCCGGCAGAGGGTAGAAAAGTGATGGGTAAGGGAATCATGCAAATAACTCCTAAGGTGGGGGAAGTCGAAGTTGAATCCGTAAGCCGGGAAGTCAGGGCAATGCAACGGTCCCGATGCCTATGCGTATACCAAGGGAGAGCCAAACTCAGAGGAACCCGACGAAGGGACACCATCATGCGACACAACCAGGGTACTGTACAGGGTAAGGTGGTAAGAGAGTGACGACATCTGAAGTAGGTAGAGTTGATCATGACGAAAGCCATGAAGCTGCCGATGACGTCCATGATGAGAAGTCTAGAATGGCGTCGAGGAAGAGTCGCAACATCGACGAGTTGAAGTGGCAAAAGCCGCAAAATAGGAGAGGATGGAGTACTAAGAAGTCAAAGATGTGGGAAGATAAGTCAGAGTCAATCGTCCTATCGAGCAGGACGACGAGGAGTGCGTTGTGGACGTTCAGAAGCATCTGACTGCTGCTGAAGGTCTGCCTCAGATGGAGCAGGCCTATGTAGACCCCAGTACGAATTCGGGCTGTACGTACGTACGTACGGGCTCATGTGGTAGTACGGGTCGTACGTACGAAAAAAAAGCGAAAAAAAAAAATTCAAAACAATCTAGAAAAAAAAATGTCATGCACAAAAATAAACTGAAATTTTGCCTTAGGGTCATATTGAAATTCGTTACCAAATTTGAGATAAAAAAACAAAACGATTTTTTTTTTCTTTTTCTTTTCCGTACAGGGCTGTACATACGGCCGTACGATAAACCCCCCGTACGTCGTACGGAGTGTTACACAGGAGCAAGCTTGACTTCAGCAGTCTCCTCAGCCGAAGGAGAAGGAGGAGGGTCAGTGAGATGAGGAGCAGTCAACCCAGCACGACGAGCACGGTTATAACCACGCACCAACATGCGAGCATGTTGCAAGTGCTCGAGGGGCTCCCACGTAGCCTCCTCATCAGGATTACCCTTCCAACGTACGAGATACTCGAGGTGAGGAGGGTTGTCATCGGTGATCCAGTGACCAATGATGTCTGAAACGAGGGACTTCTCGTGGTCGTCCACCTCAATGGGTGGAGGGGGCTCGTATGGTCGTCCAACAAAATGCTCAGATGATCTGAGGTAAGGACACAGTAACGATAAAGTCTACCTCGCCAGGTGTGCGCTTGGGCATAGCGGGGGGGAACCGGTCATATCGCAGAAGGAGGCCAACAGGGCCTGCTATGTCATAGGTAGGCAGAATGGCTGGGTGTGGCTCTTCTTATAGGAAAGTCGCTCCTACTATCCTCGTAGTAAGAGCTAGCCTAACGGCCTAGTAGGTAACATGTTAGTCTAATGCGCTATGGATACGGGGATCAAAACCGAAATGCCCCGTTGGGCGAGCTCCTTTTGGAGCGACCCAAGGGCAAAAACATTAAGCAGGGTCGATTTCAGTCGCGCGATCTTCAGATCGTGCGACGGAAATTACGCGCGCAACGGTTGAGATGGCGCATGCGCAAGTATGACATGCAAAATTCCAGAAGTGGTCCAAAATCTTTTCGATCCCAACAAGGATTGAACTTGGGACATCAGGGTGCGAGAGTTACATGGGCCCTGCGCAAGGATGACACGCATAAGAAAAAAAAAATAATAATAATTAAATAAAAATAAAATCTAAGCTAATGAGGGACGTCAGATGGCGCAAGAAGATATGGCTGGGGACTTACAGTCTCTAGTGGAGACAACAGGCGCCCATTGAAAACGGGGAGCCGTTTTTCAGGTAAGTTGTTTCTGATTGTTTTTCTTTTATTTTGTTTTAGATCTTTTTTTCTTATATTTTCTTAAATTTTTGGGGGGCAAGTACTTTGGAGCCACAACCAATGTTCAAAATGGTCAACTTTAGCAGTACTCGAAATGAAGCAAAACAGGCAACCCTAAATCTGCCAAGCGCCCCTCAGCTCATGGCTGATACAATTTTAAATTCTCACTAAACTTACACATTTTCAAACTCCGAGTATGCCATAAACGCCATTTTTTCTTTTCTTGCATTCTTCAAACTCAAGGTGTTCCACAACCACGATTTCCACAATTGTTTTTCTGATTTACTAACCCGTTCTTTCCTCGTTGTTTGGAGTGCCCGTTCGTCAGAAAACGAACGAGCGAAGTCTTCTAACTAGTGGCTGGCCCTATGGGACTTTCATCGATAGGTTGAGCAAAATCGAATGAATCTTGGGCGAGAACATGGAAATATACACTACCACACTTGTCTATGTGTGTGTTCGTGTGTTTGTGTTCGTGTGTGTGTGTTTGTGTATATATGAGAGAGAGAGAGAGAGAGAAGAAGTCACTTACCTAGCGAATGGCCTCACACTACTTCAAACGAGACTCGAACACGGATCTTCATTTCAGCAAGTGGAAGGGGCATCAACACGTAGCAACATAGGTAAGTTGTTTGTCTCCGGTTTTTTTTTTTCTTTAGTTTTTTTTTTTTTTTTTCAGTTGTTCACCCTCTCCACCATGTGGCCGTTGGCGTGCAGGCGGCAGAAAAACGAGGAGAGGTTGTCACAAACAACTAACATTAAGAAAGAAAAAACAAGACATTGTTGCCTCACAGTTGGGAAAAACAGCCCTTTGGGCTGTGTGGGCGAATAACGACCTCCCACCCCGTTTCATGGTGAATATTTGTGACCGCGACCGCAAGATTTTAGATATCGCGGTTCATAATGCACACGTGGGAAAATGAAGGTTGGGAGAGTTGGAGGGAGGAACAACAGAAAAATTCCCACGAGAAATGAAAGTTGAAAAAACATTCCATAAAAAAAAAAATCCTTCATATTTATAAATTATCATTCCAATGTTCGTCAAATTCTAAAATTTTCAGTTTTATTTGATAAGTTCCCGTCTAAATATGAGTTTTCCTTTCCAACTACATCTATTTGTTCAAGATGGAATGAAAGTCTGGACGAGCTTATGAAATATTTTGATTAAAATTTCATTCTAGTACAACAAACACCTTCTAATTTAGATTGGATTAACCTTTTTATGATTGAAAATCCTTACTCAGAATGAAAGTCCAATTAAAATACTTCATGAACTCATCCAGACTTTCATTCCATCTCTAGCAGGCAATCCAAATAAGAAGGGATACCCTATTCTTGGAATGAAAGTTTGCAACTTAGATGAAAATTTTTAAAATTGGAATGACATTTTTTAAGATGGAATGAAAATTTGAAATTAGAGTGTAATTTTACTATAGAATGATTATTTGATTTTGGGAAATACTTCCATTGAAGAGAGAGAGAAACAGGAGGTTGGGAGAGGGAGGACCTACTTCTCCCAACCTGCCAACTGTTCTCCCCGTTTCCAGGGAGGGCAGAAGGAAAAAGCAAAAATCATGTTGAACTCAACAACATGCACCTCGCCAAGGTAGGGGTTAGGCACATGCAGTTAGATTTAGTCATAATATTCTTTTCTTTTTCTTTTCTTTTTCATTTTTTTTTCTAGGCTACCAGTTGTCCGATGGTCAGTTGTCCCGGGCAGACGTCCTGGCCGGGCATCCTGTGTGGAGTTGTCCGGGATCCCAGACAACTCATTTTTTTTAAATCTGGAAAGCAAAAAAAAAAAAAAAAAAAGGAGAGGGAGGCTGCGCACCACCAGGGGACCCCCCAAAGCAATTTTGAGGCATTTCGGAGCAAACAATAAAATAAAATGGAAATACGTGCTGAGGGTGGGGAAGGGGGTGGAAGGTGTTGTGGAAGGTCCGCTGCTGCAGCCGCTGCATGTTTCTACACACACACACACACACACACACACACACACGCACACACACACACACACACAGACTTCTCAGTATCTGCAGACTACGAGTGAGCGAGAGAGAGAGAGAGAGAGAGAGAGAGAGAGAGAGAGAGAGAAAGAGAGAGAGAGAGTTCTTCTTCTTCCTCTTCAAAGTCCACCATCTCGCCCTCACCGTCTCACTACCTAACTTCTCAGTATCTGCAGACTACGAGAGGGAGAGAGATGAGTGACTTTGGGGATGTTGACGACAGCGGGATACAGACTCGACTTTGGGATCGAGACATTGACGAGGGACTATTTCGGATCAATACCAGGGACACTTGTCTGACGACATTCCCATCTTCTCCCTCATCTTTATCTAATCCCCAGTATGCAACAGTTTGGTATCTCCTCCTTCTCTCAGATGTGTGAAGTATGATGGGATGTCGTGTCAGTCCCGGTGAGGTCAGGACTTATATCCAAGTCTTCCACTGCGCTACAAAGTGCCATTTTGTACGTATCAAGATGTAAACTGATTGTTGAGATTCCACTAACACTGCATTGTCCATTCAGTCCTTTTCATCACCTTGCGGATCCTTGGCTGTACCTACATTGCCCAACTGGGCATGTATCACACACACACACACACACACACACACACACACATTGTCGCATACCGGTGCAGACCAGAAAAAAAAACGACCTCTCTCACATAGTATAAGATAGCACAGTGGAAGGCTTAAATACCAATGATCCGAACAATCAGTGTTGCAATGCAGACCTTTTTTTTTTTTTTTTTTTTTTTTTTAGAATGCCCTTGATGATAGTGGTGGTGATAAGAGCAGCCACCACTACCATGCGGGGAGAGGCTCCATCTGTTCGTGGGGAGCATCACCTGCTGGAAAATGGGTCTAGCGTCCCATGTACAATGTTTGATCAGAAAAATCACACTGGGGAGGACCCTTGCCAACATTGATTACCCTGGACGCTAGGGGATTGACTGAGCAAGGTATCTTGAGAAACTAAAAAAGTTGGAAGACCAGATATACATCATCATCATTCCATGGTGTGAAGGGGTCTCGCGCTCACACAGGAAAAAGGCGCCAGTCCCCAACCATACACAGACAAAGAAGAGGGGGGTTAGACGAAGAAGAGGGGAAGATGGGAATGCCGTCAACACCAAGTCTTCGGTACAAGTCCCAAATAATCTCTCGTCAAATGTCTGAATCTCAATGTCGAGTCTGGATCCAAATGTCGTCAAGTCCCAAAGTCACCAACCTCGCTCTCTCTCATAGTCTGCGGATACTGAGAAGTCAGGTAGCGAGAGGGTGAGGAGGAGATGGTGGACTTAGAAGAGGAAGAAGAAGAACTCTCTCTCTCTCTCTCAGAGTCCGATACTAACCTGTGAAGGTGGCGCCTTGTTGCAGGTACATCAAAGACGAAGCTGGAGCTATGACCCTACAGGTAAGTCTCCCTGGCCTCCGCCAACCATCTCTCTCTCTCCACTACTACTCTAGCTCCTTATAGCGCCCAGCGCTGAAGACTACTGCTAATGTTACTACTACTACTGCAGACCTGATCTGTGCCGTAGATCTCTTAGATCTGATGGCCCAAACCGGGCCATTTTTTATTTTTTTTTTGGAGGCCCTACCGGCCTCACAAAAATCGCCCAAAATAAGCAAGGGTACTACGTACCCCAAACCGCACCCCCACAGGCCCAAAACCCTAATCGGACCCCAAGGCCGGTTTTTAACCAGCCCGGACAGTTGGCCCCGCCAGGACGACCGGAGGAGTTGTCCGATCGGACAACCCGGAATAGAAAGGGGTCCCGGAACAGAAAGGGGTTGTATCTCTCCAACCCCTTATCAGAAAAATATCTCGTAAAATTATGAGATAGCTGATGAAAAGAAAAGAAAAAAAAATATATGGCAGTTAAAGAAAATGCCCCCACTAAGGTTGTGGTTGCCGTGCGGCCACAGTTAGCCTTGATCTCGGTTAGATCAAGGGTTTACTGTGAGCCCGCAATTTTACCTGGAGGCTGGGGTGACGTCCAACCCTCCTGAGCCACTATAAAACAGATAGTTGTCACCAACTGCCACAAACAATGGATTCGTGAAATCTCACGTTGTGCAAACCAAGCAACTTTGAATCCTTTACCTGCTAGCAGCTCGACAACCTTGCCAATGTGGTAAGGTTTGCCTCTATCTTCCTGCCCCGAACAAGCTTGTAATGCGATGAAAGTGTTGACCTCGAGATCGTCGTACTTTCCGTCTCTGTCCTCTCGAACCTTTCTGCTCTTTCGTGCGCCGATGTAGATGGGTCTCTCAGGAGGGAAAAGATCATCCCAGCGTTGGTCAAAGCCGTTAGCGGTTGGTGGGACTTCTTCACCTGCTCTGCTGACATCAGCTGTTACAGAGGGCCACGCGAAAGGCTCTTTGAGGTTTGTCTCCTCAAGGTCGAGAGTTTCCTGCGTTGCAATAAACTTATTCCACCATTCAATGTTGTGGGGTTGAGCGTAATGCGACAGGGCATGTACGTTGGCTTTCAAGGCGGCGATGGAAAGTACATCATCGTCAACCTTGAATTTCGAAGATCCTCCCGCTTTTCAATTACGGACATGACCTTCACTGCTGACGACCTTATCACGCCTCACGTCCTCACCCCGACAAGTAAGTCGATATCTTGCTTCAAAAGATCGGATTGCATGCTTTGGTGAAGCTTAAACTTGTCCTGTTGGCTCTGACTTGAAGATGTCCAGACCTTCTCTGTCGTTCGGCTGCCACTGCGAGTTATGATATTGCTTGCTGCAAATGTGCACCTCCCCGTTGTCGTTGCGCTTGATTCGGAAATGTTGGTTGACGCTAATATCATTGACATTATGTAGATGATCCTGAACGTACAACTTTCAGTCCATTGTTTCCGTCATCTCCTCAACGTGCACACCATGATCTTGTTCTACCTTGTACGACTCCCTAATCACGTGTTGCAACTCAGGAAGATCGAACGCACCATGTGCAGCCAGCTTTCTCGAGAAACAGCTGAACATCTGGTCGATGTCCTCGTGTGTGAGACCTAAAAGAAGAAAGTTTAACTTAACTTTACTAAACACTCTCATTTTCACCAAGAACACGAGATATGACAACACAAATTTGTTCTTGTTCTCTTTTGAAGTGTTATCAAGTGTAAGATAAAGGACTCTAAAAAATGGTACCGGAAGTTGAGAAATCTGACGATGAAGAACAGTTAGCATGCAATTAGAATCTGATTTGAAGTTGTCAAAGAAAACAGTTGCAGAGGCGTTCGATGAGAGCCCTAGCACCTTAGCCCCAACCACGTGAACTTTCACAAAGTTCCCTTCTTTTAGTTTCGAATCCTTTGGAACCCTAGTGAAGTGTGGCAGTATAGTCTTGCTCTGATCCATCCCATCAATGATCATTGCGACATACTCTGACGGATGACTTGAAGCCTTGTAGCGATGCTTACTGAGTTTTTGTCTCTCTTCTGCTTGCATTAACCGGTGCTTCTCTAGTGCCTTGTCAAACATTTCTGCGCAAATAACAAAACAAGCGGTTACTTTGTCAAAACATGTTAAAGAAAAGAGACAAGGCGCGATGACGGGCCTTAAAATCGAAAGCAATGATTGGACAAAGTGTTATAGGGCTACAACTCGGAAAAGTCATTCCACAAGTATCGTGCATCATAACATTCGAAGTTTGGGCAAGGCAACGCAGACGTCACTAATAACAAGGGCTTTAAAATCGAAGACGGCTAAGAGATAAAGTGTTAAAGGGCTTTTACTCTGAGAAGTCGAAGACGATTATTAGACAAAGTGTTATAGGGCTGTAACTCAGAAAAGTGAGTCCACAAACGTCGTAGAATGTTCAATTCATTCTTCCCCAAAATTTCTGTTTTGATTGACTGAACGAGTTCGGGGAAGGCAACGCAGGCGTCACGAAGACGATTATTAGATAAAGTGGTAAATGGCTTTAACTTTGAAAAGTCAACGACGAATAAGAGACAAAGTGTTATAGGACTATAACTTAGACAAAGAGAAGACGTTTAACTATTTCTTTACCAAACTTACTACTTTCATAAGAATCCTTCCCAGTTTGCGCTGACACAAGATTCATTTTTCTTTCTTTCTACACGAAGAACATTTAGAGAGAGAGAGAGAGAGAGAGGAAGAAGAAGAAGAAATAGGAGAGACGAAGAAGAGTTCCATGAGAATCCTTCCGTAAATGTGCAAGTCACAGCCTCTACCTTCTGCAAAAACAACTTAAAAGGATATAATTCAAAGCAATCAGTCGCGCTATGGCAAACATTGAAGAATGAACACTGAGAGTGAGAGAGAGAGAGAGAGAGAGAGAGAGAGAGAGAGAGAGAGAGATAGAGAGAGAGAAGAAGGGTCAGGAAGACAGGGGGAGAGAAAATAAGCACTGAGGTTATGTCATTACCTCTTTCGAACGCACTTGTTGTTTGTGAACGGCCTGTCTTGAATTTCAGACATGTGGAACAGACCGAGAACCTCTTCAATGCAGGAATAAGAACTTTCGGGCAGTGAACCCTCCAAATGGTCATAAATCTGGAACGGGAAGGAAGAGTCTTATTCGTGTAGAGCTCTTTGCAGTCTCGCTTGAAGAAGTCGTACACGTCTCTGCGCCAGAGAGTATGTGAAAGATGAAACTGGTCACTATTTGGCATACTCTCTGTATTGTATCGGAAATATTCATGCAACCAGGCGATAATTTGCTATGATGAAGCAGATAATCCGACTGATCCTTTGTTTGCATGCTCATACAACACCATTCCTTCTCTGAATTCTTTGCGTATCTTTGCAACACGTGTAGTCGAGCACCCGTACAGCTTTCCCCACGCTTTTGTGCAAACCTTTACGCCGTTGAACGTCACTCTTAACACCTCTAAATCTCCCTCATCCGAAAAGTATGACGCAACCCTCATCTCTGCGAGAAAGAAGTTGAGTTGCTCAGAATGTTTCATCGCCCAAAATTCTTCACGCTTGTAGAAAACATCTACCGCCGTGAACTTCTTGTAACAGTTGGCCTTGCAGCAATCTTCCTTCAGAACTAGTTCGACATTCTTCATGTTCACGTGGTAGTTAGCTTTCTTGTTGTACACACGTACGTTCCTGCCGCGTTTTCCCAAGTTGTAAGGAGGTTTCTCACTCTTGCTTGATTTGCTGTACAGTCCTCTTCTCACCTCCTGTGCTATTATCTGCTTCGCTTCTCCTAAAAGTTCTCCAGATAGACTCTTCTTGAACATGTCGACATCAATTCCCGACTCGTTCTTCCCTTCATCATCCTCAGAGTCTGTGTCTTCTGAATCGTCATCCTCGCTCGTTTCCTCCTCCTTATCATCGTCGTCGCTCGATTCGCCCTCCTCATCATCGTCGTCACTAGGTTCCTCTTCCTCAGTGCCGTTGTCACGCAATTCTTGCGCCACGCTGTCGTAGAGCGTTTCTTTCACAACAAAGTTCTCGCTCATGTCCTGTACATCGTCTCTCTCTCTGGATTGTTCGCCTTCAACGTTCGGGCACTACCGCTTCCCTAGGCGCTCTATCTGGATTGTACTCCCTGTTTTGCCAGTTGCGCAGAGACCCATCACTGTGTTTGTTTCTCGGCATGACACAATAACCTTTCTTGTTATCGTGTTCGATCGCGGACGCTTCGGAAACAAACAGACATTGGTGGTCCTCTCACCAATTGCACTGAGCTTCGGTGGAGGGTTCTGCTTCTCGCCTCCGTGTGTACAACATTGACGGAGGTCCGGAAACCACCTGCTATTCTTCGTCTTGACACTCTTGGCATCAACACTCTTCTTACATTGAGAAAGGTCTGGAAACCATCTCACGGGGTTAATCTTGTGAGTACTCCGAGTACATCTTTTGGTTAAAGAATCCATGGCAGGAACATATAATACGACAACCTATCTGGCATCTAGAAATGACGATGGCTTCACCTACAAAA